TGCATCTACGTCGCTTCCAACCTCCTCCTCCTCCTCCTCCTCCTCCTCGCTTTCCTCGCCGTGGCGTCCGACCCAAGAGCCGCCATCATGCAGAGGAGCGTCCTGGGCAGACAGATCGTGGCCGCCCTCGGTTCTGGTACGAATGTTGTTGCGGCGGCGCTGGGACAGAGTGCGGGAGCGGGTGGAGAGCTTGGAGGAGACGGCGGCGTTGGCCGTAACCCAATTAGTGAGGGCATCCTCACAGTCCTGGATGATGGCCCTACTAGCTTCATATCCGTCGTATGCCTGCCTGGTCTCGCCGGGAGTGACGGGGGTGTCGTCAATGAGCTCAAGGAGGTGCTTGCCGTAGCCGGCAATGATGGCAACTTTTTCGCAATGCTCACGGAGAGCATCAAACTGGTATGTATAGGCAGCCTTGACCTTCTCGCGAGTAATGTTGGAGAGCTGAGCCTCAGCGACGAGCGACTCGGCCTCGGCACGGACAAGCTCCTGCTCCAGGACGACAATCTTGGGTGAATTGGGCTCCTTGTACTTCAGCTGAGCAATCTGGTCGGTGATCTTCTGCTTGCCTGGTACGGGGTTAGCGACGGAAACTTTGCTCTGGCAGAAAAGTAAAGAAACGCGGTTCTGCTTACGGTCTCGACTGGGCTGAACGGAAGCTTCAATGTTGCGGATACTCTTCATGGTAATACGATACTGGTCATAGCGGTCGACGTACTGATCCTCCAGCTCGCCAATCTCGTATAGCAACACTCCAAGCTTGTCGGTAACGTCGGAAACGTCCTCATCGCCGCCCTCACCCCAGATGGACAGTTGTTGCTATGCGCGCAGCTCGTTAACACTGCTCAGGGTTGAGAATGGGAGTGGATAAGGACCTACAGCAACCTCCATGCGCTCCTTGGCGACAGTCTCCAAGCTTCGCATCACATTCTTCTCCATCTTGACGAGCTGCGCCAATTTCTTGGCCAGATCGGGGCCAAAGGCGCCACCGGCATTGCGGCGCAAAGCGTGGCCTGCATTCGAGCAATCAGTATGCTTGATCTCGTCTAAACAATACTACCACGGCTTCTGTTGCATTGCACGTACCCAAATTACCCTTTCCAAAGAAGCGACCGGATTTGGTGGATGAGGGAGGGGGAGGCGGACTCTACAAACCGAGCAGTTAGCAATTGGTTCTTGGTGTAAGTAGCGAGGGATATGGGGAAACCGATTGTCATGGACAGATCAGCGTACCTGCAGCTGGGATGCAGTAGGCGCACGGGTGGTGCGCATAGAATAGGTGCGATGCATTTCGGCGGGCGAGGCGGAACAGCGTTTCGATTGCTGAAGAGTGAATTATTCAGGCTCAGATATGACTCGAAGTCCTGCAGCTGAGCGAATACAAGCAAAACCAGAGGACGATAAAAAGTCAGAGATGGAAAGGCATCAACTGGGACAAATGATGTGGAGGGCGAGATGGTGATGGGTTATATGGAGCCTGAGGTGGTGGCCAAATGCATGTGGTGCCCTTTTTGCGGAGAGCACGAGAGAGAGATCGTCATTGGGGGGGAGACCGAAGCAGACGGGCTGGAAGCAAGGAGCTGTGGTTTCTTTGGCGACGTCATCGCCTGGATGGGCTCAGCGGTCAAGTGGGGCACCAACAGACTGGAGCGGACTTGAGGCGGTAGGGCGGGTATCAAGGCCAACTGGTGTCCGCCAACTCTTGGTGCTAGTGTCACGATTGGCCCCATTTTGGCATTTATTGATTTGTCCTGGACCAGACAGCTGCCGACTGTACCTAACTACTACTGTACGGAGTGCCCCAGATGCCCTTGGTTAGTTGCCGGCTACCTGTAGCTAGTAGGCACTGGGTACATGTGTGACTGGCGCTGTCTTGCGATGCACCAGGATTACCTAGTACCTACCTACCTAGGTACCTAGGTACTAGCATCGCACCAAACACCAAGGGAACCTCCGAAACCAAAGGGAAACGCTGAACCAGGGGTTCCCGGACCCAAAGCCTCGCGTCTCGCTACCTTAGGCGTCCCCAGGCATGTCTCAGGCCTTGGATCCCTCGTTGGGCTCGGCATTGAACTAGCTGTTGGCTGCCAAGAACCCAGTTCTGGGATCCCCAACTTTCAATGCCTCTGTGGCTGAGAGACCCGAGAGTCGAGACATGGTGACTGGCTCCATCAGCACCATCATCATCATCATCATCGTCGTCGTCCTCTTCCGGATGCGGATGAGTAAAACTAACCCCCCCGGCGCTTGGATCTCCTGCGCGTCGTGATTCCATATCAAGATGGAAGGATGGCGGAGCTTTTGACATGGTGCGCGAAGCAAATCTCTCCTCATGCCCTTGGTCTGCAAACCGCCCTTGGGTCGGCAACCCGTCTAGGCGCTCTAGCTCTCCAGCTTTCCTCAAATAAACTTCCGGTCCTGCCGCTGCCGGCCATGGGTAGTCATTCTACGATTACAGAGAAGTACTTGCGTAGATATCAGAGCACCGCCTACCCAGGCATCGGCCGTAGGTAGTTGGGCATGTACCTAGGTGATGTACAAATACCCGATTTTGAGCTGATGAGCAAGCAGCCCCGCCATCGACAGCAGGATGATTTCTCAAGCCTGGCATCATACGTCATCACAACACCCGGAGCTTGTGGTTGGTATAATCACGTGATAAATAGGAAATTTGTACGAACCAAGGCAAAGATCCCTCCCAAAATCTAGATGTGTATGAAAATAAGCAAGCAGTTATTATTAAACAAAGGATGTCGTGCGTCACCTGCTTACGTCTAAGCAGCGAATAGTGTAATTGGTTGTTTTTCCGTAGCTTAATTTGCGTATTAGGTAGTTACTCTCAGCCCGTTTGTCCTAGAGTCAACTATTCGTGGCCTTCTCACTGTCACAGCAGATGAATGGCATCAATTGCAGCTCCGTACGTGAATTGCGTAAATGCTGAGTTGCGTCAGAAGCCCCACTACCAGAAGCTTATGCCGACCAAAGGCCTGGGGCCCTCTAGCGGATAGGAAGAACTGCCTCAACTGCCCAGGCTAGACTTTACAATAGCGGCGGCTTTGATAGGCCACGTGATAGGCCACGTTGCTGGAATTCTTTATTCAGGTAGTTGAGTACTTTCCTCCGTGCCAAAACCGCGCGCGCGCCAATGTTGGGCCTCTGTCCGGCCTCGTTCAGCCTGGTCCAGCCTGCCCATGTCTGGTTCAATCCCCGTCTCAGCGCATTGCCTACGGAGCTCCTGGTGAAAAAGTCGACGCGATCTTAGACACGATTCGCGTCTCGTCCACCATCACTGTAGCCACAAGTCGTACGGATCTCAATAAGGAGATCGGCCCTTTGTCTTTGGCTGGCAATTGGCCCGTTGCTGCAGACCTGGCACGGGCAGCCTCGCATGCCGGCCGATTGCCCGTGATCTCTGCGAGGGACCAGACTCTTGTCGAGGGTCTTGCGAGCCTACGGCGCGTCAGGGTTGGCCGGCTCTATCGTTGATGGCATGGGGTCGTCGGCGCCGTGCTTTGACGTGCTGAATAAACGGCGTGCTTCTTCTTGGCGAGAATTCCGTCTCGTGCTTGAAACAAAGCGCTGGTCTAAAGAGGCAGGCACACACACCAGCAGTTGACGCGACAACTTTAAGAAGTTTAGTCATCGCCGGCGCCAAATCCTACGCTGGTCGACATGTCAACCACGGGCTGTTCCAAAATGCACATGCTTCGCGACATCAATGGACAACTGCCACTGGAGTCGGATCGTCCCGAATTTGTGGAAGCTGCAACCCTTTCGTCCCGTCTCGAAGCCTTTGGCAACCGAAAGCCGAGTGACCACCAATCGAACTTCGGCAGAGCCCCGATCAGCCCGACGCCACTGCGACGACAGCCCGACGCGGCCCCAGGCCTTTCTCATCGCACACTGCCTCTTCCGACTTCATTTGGACGTGACTCGGCGCCTTCGACCTCGAACGGCGTGTGTGACAGCCCTTCGGGTGATGATTCCCTAGAGTCTGCCTTCAGCATGGCGCGACATACCACACCCCCCCGGCCGCCTCCTCCGCCGTCGCATCCTGGATCAGAAGCGCCTGCCATCAACGGCACGACCCCAAAGGCTCAAACAGACTCCAATGCAGATTGGACGATACCAAAAATCATAAGCCAGCTCAACATCTACCGACAAGATGTCAAGGAAGGCCATGCGAAGCTCATCGGGTACATCTTGGAGTCTACCAAGGCTACCGAACGGAGGATTCGCCATGGACGCGACCTTTTTGCAAATATTCGCACCCCTGTTCTTACGGAGAAGAAAAGCACCACCATGCGCATCAAATCCAAGGTAACAGGCCTCGTATTGTTTTGCCTGCCACCCTTGGACGGACGTGTACTGACCTAACCCGTCATAGCAACATCTCAAGGGAAAGCGAGACCAGCGAGAAGCACACTATACCCCGATATGCACCAAAACGAACAAAGAGCGTGTGCCGCCTTACCGATTCCACCACGTCGAAATAAAAAAGAACGTCCTTACTCCCAACACGATGCTGACATTTGTGCCACATCTGCGAGACTTGGAAAGCTCTGAAGAGACCAAGTATAATCTTTGGCTCAAGGAGCTGGAAGACATTGACCTCAAGTCTGGGTTCAAACCTATGAACCGCGAAGACAAGCAGCAGCTGACTATCCAGGGCGAGAGGGCAGCAACTGTGTCGCTATATTTGGATACGTGGTTAGAAAACATGGCCATCCCTGGCTGCGACAAGTCGGCATTGATTAGCTATATGGCCGCCCGAGAACCGGATTACGCCATCACACCTCAGCAAAAGTCCGACATTCTGAATTCTCACCGCAACATTGAAAATGCCGTTCCGGGTGCCAACAAGGCAGCGCAAATGTTTACCGATGCCTTTCATCAGGTATTTAAAACCGCTCAGCCGGCATCAAAACAAATTGAGCTCCGAAGAGTGTTAATGATGGATGAGGCTGTGGACAACATCATGGATTCGAAGCCGATTGCAAAGGATGCCACCAGCCCACAACTTCACGACGAGGATGAGGATGAGTTGGCCGAGTCCAACTTGGCTACGTATTGCATTTTGGGCTGCCTAATTTGTTTCAGTCATTCATGTGACCATGGCGAGTACGACAACAAAAATATGAAGCGCACATTTTCCATATCATCATGCTCACACCTCTCTGACGCCCTGAAGCAGAGACGCAACGGCATGGAACGTGACCGTGCGTCGCCCATCAAACCGTGTCGGCGACAGTGTTACCAGAGAGCCGCTGACCATGTACGCATGCATTTGCACCCTCGCCCATGGTTAGAAGATGAGAGAATCGTTTTACGATCAATCTTTACAACCGCCAGCCACAGCAACTACACGGGGGACCCCATCTGTCTAGCGGCTGAATTTTTGAACCGGCATTGCGATGAAGTGTACACCGAGTTCAAATCCATGGGGATCTCGCTGCCTCAACCGGAGCCTCCCGAAGCACCGAGGATAAAGAATCTGTCATGGTACGACCGACGACGAAAGGCCCTGTTAGGAGACTGGCAAGATCACACAACTAGCCATGCCCACCAACGTCGGGAAAATCTGGAACCCTGTTCTCACGAAGGCCCATGTGTGCCAGGAGTCTGTACCTGTGTAGATGCCGACGTACTTTGCGAAAAGTTTTGCGGGTGCACGGTGGAAAACTGCGCTTACAAATTTACTGGGTGTGCTTGTCATTCACAAGGCAAGACCTGTTTAGATAACAAGAAGGACAAGCCCTGCATATGTGTGCAGTTGAATCGTGAATGCGATCCTCAACTGTGTGGCTCCTGTGGTGCCCTGGAGCGTGCCGACCCTCTCAACGCGGATGACGCGGAGCTTCATGCAACAGGTTGCCAAAACTGCGATTTGCAGAGGGGGGTTGGAAAATTGCTGCTGCTGGGCCAAAGTCAGCTTGATGGCGTTGGTTATGGCCTGTTTACGGCGGAGGACATTGCTCAGGATGAGTTCATCATTGAATACGTTGGCGAGCTGATTACGCATGACGAAGGCGTACGACGTGAAGCCCGCCGAGGCGATGTGTTTGACGAGGAGTCCAATGTGTCTTATGTCTTTACGCTTCTAGAAAACGAAGGCATCTGGGTTGACGCCGCGATCTATGGCAACTTGAGTCGCTACATTAACCACGCGTCAGAACATGACAACCGTGGGTGCAATATTACGCCGAGGATCCTTTACGTGAATGGGGAGTATCGAATCAAGTTCACCGCCATGAGAGACATCGAGGCAGGAGAGGAGCTGTTCTTCAACTACGGCGAGAACTTCCCCAATCTGACGAAAAAGCTGCTAGACCACAAGGCGGCAGGCAAGCCAGAAACGAAGAACAAAGCCGCAAAGTCGCGTCGACCCGAGAATTCTGAGACGATTGCCCGCAAGGCCACAAAGGCTGACAACACCAAGCGACGGCCGGGCCGACCGCGAGTGAAGCGAGACCTACCTCCTGGCTTCGCGCTTGAGGCAGTGGATATGGACCCGGGGCCGGGGCCTCAACCACGCAAACGCAAGCGGCGACTGCAAGATGATGGCGACGAGGAGGACTATGATGGGGTAGTCTCAGTGAAAGCGGCGAATGGGGACGGAGGCGGAGGCAGACGCGAGTCGGAGGACCCAGGTTCGGCATCCAGATTACGCAGAAGGGTCCGGACGAGCACGGAAACACCAACAAAGCGGATTGAGCCGCCGAAAAAGACACGAGGCAAGCGAGGCGGAGCACGGCCAGGTAGTGGAAGGCCTAGAAAACACCCACGACCGGTGCCTAAGCCAGCCCTAGCCTTGGAGTCCAAGGGTGACGATGGACCGACTGTAGCTGGCCATGCTGCTCCCAGTTCAGGCCCAGAGAATGAGACAACACCCGCACCTGCACCCGTGTCTGTATCAGCATCGGTATCGACGAGGCATGCGAGTACACCGGAACCAAAGCGCATCACCAGGAATTCAGAAAAGATGGATATGGAGATTGCGGATAGCGAGGATAATATGTCAAACGCAGCATTGAGGAGCAGTGGAGCGAAGACGACAGATGTGAGTGCGGCGCGGGAAGACGACGACGATCAAGACGTGGTGATTCGGCAGCGAAGCGATAGAGCGTCGAGGACCAGACGGCCGCCAGCCAAGTTTAGAGATGATGATATTTGGAACTGAGTTACGGAAACGGGTTCATGGAAGAACGGGCGGCGTTTTGTACATTGGCAATTGATGGCTGGGAGGCGACGTGGCGCATTTGTACCATCAAAGCATTTTTATCTGCAAACTAGGTAGATTGTACCAAGAGTCGATGCGGAAATAAGAAATATGTCTACAAGAGTTGATGTGGCGGTTGATGCAATGGTGTTCTCGTGGCCCTTGACATGATGTTTCAACGTGCAACCTGGGCGGACCGAGCTGAAGCTCGAGTGGGTCCTCGGGCCAGAGACGCATCGAACCCACATGCAGGTTGGTCCTGTCCGATTCCCCGGCCATCTACTGGCCCCAGCAACGAGGCGATGACGTTGTCCCTGGCGCAGGCCCAAAGGCCTAACTACAAGGTACGTAGTTCCATTCCATGTCCAGGCCGCACCTCCATCACAAGCACTTGCTTGACCTTGCCCCTCCAATCCGGCGGCAAAACTGGCCACTTCACAGCCTTGCCGTCATTCCGACGCCATAAATACCCGCGATCCGCATACTCCACCTCTGCTGCAATTCTTCTTCAATCCCGTCTCTTGCCTGCCTGCATGCACCTGAGCGCCCTCACCACGCACCAGAATCGCAGCAAACAATACGCCCACCATGACGCTATACTACTCTCTTGTACGTCTCACGTCCCCCCCGCATGCATTCTTCGCTTCAACTAACACGCGGATAGGTCTTCTTCCTCCTCGTTCTAGAGATGGTGCTCTTTATGCTCCTTCTCATCCCTCTCCCGTACACGGCTAAGCGCAAGGTTTTTACGTACGTGTCTTCTCTCGTGTGGCCAAGTCGGACCTGAATTTGGCAGAGCATCTGCTGACCTTGCCCACAGCTTCATCTCCGAAAACCCCATCATCTCCAAGGTCATGTACTGGCTCAAAATCACCTTTGTCTTCATCCTCATCCTGTTCATCGACAGCGTGAACCGCGTGTACCGCGTGCAATTGGAAGTTGTCGCAGCGGGAGAACAGGCGTCCAAGGGAACGTACGTATACTACGTCACTGGCTTTTTTGATCTATGGACAACACCCCACATCTCGAAGGGGGTGGGTTGGCTGATTTGCGTAACCGCTTTGGAAACAAAAAAAAAAAAAACCGAGCTAACGTGACGCTGTAAATAGTGCTATTCTGGGCCACGAACGTCTCGAAGTCCAGGCGCGTAAATTCTACTCCCAGCGAAACATGTACCTCTGCGGCTTCACCCTCTTCCTGTCGCTCATCTTGAACCGCACCTACGTCATGATCATCGACAACATCAAGCTGGAGGACAAGGTCAAGGCGTTTGAGAGCAACAAGAACTACAAGGAGAACAAGTCGAGTGAGGTTGCCGAGCTGCAGAAGCAGTTGGCCAAGAAGGAGCAGGACTTGCAGACGCTGAAGAAGCAGAGTGAGGGGCTGCACAACAGCTATAACGAGCTGAGCGACAAGTACGCGGCTACGCAGGTTGACGAGGAGAAGAAGGGGAAATAAGCCTCGTTGCCGACGAGGTTGTCAGCTGCAAGGGGGGAGAGGAGAAGGGGAGGAGGGTTTGGTTATCATGTTCAGGCCCGGCGTGAGTGGTGAAGTTGTGCAGAGATGGAGGGGATACGAGGCTGGTGTGATGCGGATGAAAAAAGTTGCGGCAGCAGCTGGTGTTTTGTACGCGGCATCACTTGATTGATGAATTTTACTGCTACTTTGCTTTTGTTTATGGCCTGGAAACAAGCGTGTCCTAGAGTGATGTCCCGCTGTCCGAAATTGGCAAACGATGTGTGATTCAGAAGCGGCGCCTGGTTGGCTTTGTTTACGTGATATACAGCAACGGGTCTTACTTCCACGCAGTCGATGAATGAGGCTATCTCGACATAGCCTTCGCCGGCGCCTCGCGATGAATGAGTCTTACTAGTATCTGACGCATCGCGATGTGTGTACTCATAGTATATTCCGCGGTCTATTACGATTCCCTGGCTTGGGTACGGCCGGTGTATTGTGTTACTCAATGTAGTGCTTGCACGATTGTTTATATAAGAAAAAAAAGAAGAAGAAAAGAAAAAAAAAAAACTTAATTAAGATGAACCCTGAAAAAACTTGAAACTTGTATGAAAAATATACAGCAAAGGCCCATTTCACGCTTCGTAACTAAACAAATTGACCAGCTACATATACATACCCTTTGACAAAACCCAGCACACGTCGACCACGGTAATAGTAATCACCATCACTCAGGCCCTGTGCCTCTTTGATCGCCGCAAGCCCGTCTCATCAACGCCCTCGGTTGTCCGTCGTTTATGCGCGCTCTCGTTCGTTTCCGCGGCAGCCTTCCCGACAGCTTTCTTCTTGTCCTCCCCCGCCGCGGCGGCCCTCTTGTCACCCCTGCCAGGACCTGTGCCCTTTTCCTTTTGCTCCTCCCGACGCCGGCCCTTTATGATCACGTACGCGACCTTTTCCACGTCCACCATGCCGACGCCGAGTCTGCGCGCTAGCTCGCCCGCGCGCTGCCTCAGCTGCGCGTACTCCTTGGGCGTGTACTTGATGGGCGTGTCCCTGCTCCCGCCGCGGCAGAGCCAGTAGTACGCCTCGTCTGAGAAGAAGACTATGTTTTCGGGGTCGTGGACGTTGAGCAGGAGGGACGCGGTGGCGGGGCCCACGCCCCTGAGCTTGGTCAGGGCGTCGAGGGCCGCCTGGGCGTGCGTCGACGGGCTGGCCTTGTACTGCTCGACGGCGGACGATATGGTCTGCTTGGTGAGGGAGGCGGGGTTGGAGGAGACGAGGGACATGAGGGTTGGGCGGAATTTGCCGTGGCGTCTGGGGGGCGGTTGGTTAGTTGGCTGGAGGAGCGGCGAGGGGTGAGAGGTGTGGGTGGTTGAGATGTGAAGATGGGTTAGGCGAGCAAGGTGTGAAGCAAGGCGTGAGATGTGGCTAGTTTGCGATATGAAGATGGGCCATTTGGGCAAGATGTGAAGCAAGACGTGGGCGGGACGAGACGCGGGACTGCAGACAGTTTCCACTCAACGAGGCTTTGGACATCTGCGAGCGTCATTTCTTGGCTTTGCTTGCTGAACAGGAGGGGCGCTTTGTCGTAGCGGTAGGCGTCCAGGTCTTTGAGGGTCTTTTGGCCGGGTTTTTGTGCTGGTGTCGACGTCTTGGTTAGCTGGCTGGGCGGGCGAGCTGGGCAGGGCAGGTAACGTGCTGCTTTTGGCCTGGGACATGGCGTCTATCAAGGCTGGGTATTCGGCTAGGAGGGCGTTGAATTCGGCCTTGGATATTGTTGCTGCGGAGGGCGACATTGTTGCGATGGGCTCTTGCGATGGGCTCTTGTGGGTGGTGGTGGTGAAGCTGTGTGTTCAGTGTTCAGGCGGCGGTTTGGGGATGTGCTCTGTCGGCGCTTGGGATTGTGTTTTTGCTGAGGGCACTGGATTCGTGGGGACGGGACAAGAGTGAAGCTGGATTATTATTATTTTGCAAAGTTGCTTGTGAATGTATGGGTTCGTGGTTCGTTCATGCATCCATTCCCGGACCCGGATGACCAATGGCGCAGCTGCACGAGAGAAGTCACTGTCGCACAAAAATATGTGGCGGCTACTTTGTATCCACAATGCCTCGACTACACTCTCTCTACACAGACCAAGAACTCGCAAGGTTGAATGGAATCGCGGCGTCGCAGACCGACAAAGGTGTCTCAGAGGCCGCTGCATATGAGCATCTTTGTTCCCCGTACACGTGCTGTTTTTTTGACTTAATGGCAGATGGCCAAGATGTTTTTGTGTTGTCTGTATCCAGGCTGTAGCCGTGGCCGGACAGCGCAATGCATCCTTCTTTCAACCTCATCTGTGCCCCTGGAACACCAGAACAACTGCTACAAATTTTTAGACATATCGGCAACGAACAGATGGTGAACCGAGATAATCGGGCCTTTATTCCGGGGAGTCGGGACATATCGTGAACTAACGGTCCTCATGTCGGGGACTGGGACTTTGGTTGGTGGAAGCCTGAAGCCTTTCACTATGATGTCATCTTGCTGGTATTTTATTATCAATCGTCTTGTCCAAATACGATTTTTCTTTCTCTTTTCTTGCCGAGCTCGGGGAACAGCGCTGGTGCAGTGGTAGTAGCTCTGATCACCCGTAGCCTCAGTGCCCATACTACGCTCACCTGCACACTGACATTCTACCTCCTTGGTCTGCAGGAATAACACGAGTTGAACACTTGGCACACGGTCTTGGTGTGAATGTTTGTCGTAGATTTCTTGAATAGTTCATCTCCTGGCTATATAAAGACACCTTTCCCCCTACTGGACCTCTCGGAAAAGCCCTACCGTCAACGAAAATCACGTATACAAACCAACAAATCAAACTACAACCCGATAGCATACTCCACGAAATCTCGGTTCTATCTATCCCACGGAAACCACTACGAATAAGAAACAACCATGTGTGAGCAGGATTCCTTCCTCGATAAATGCATGTGCTGCGAGTCTACTTCCCGTGGGTCGGAACGTCCCAAAATTCGTCATTGCAATCAAGCCCGCATCGAAAACGGCCATCTTGGACCATGCGAAGCGATTGAAGTAAACTTGATAATGAAGACGATCATTACTTGTGACAGATGCTTGCGAAGTATATTGAAGACTATGAAGGCCTAGATGTGGTAGACTGTGTAATAAGGGCTCAATGGAGGGCTTAAAGCAAAAGGGCTTAATTTAATGATAATCTTATAGGATATAAAAGGTCCCTAGTTTCTTTAAGCTAAAAGGTAAGGGGAGACTATCTTATATATATAAAAGGAACAGCTTATACCTAATATACCTTATAGTTCTTATAATCTCTTTATATAATAAAGAGCTTTTAATTCTTACTTAACTTAATTTATATAATATTAGCTCTTTTCTTTTATAAGCTTAATTTTAAGTAATATAAGGTTATTTATACTCTTTAATTTTAAGGCTTATTAGAATTATTTATAAAAAGATTAATTAAATACTTTATATTATTATTATTAGTTTATTAAAAGTTCTTAATTACTTTTACTTAATAATTTTTATTTACCTTAATAGGTAACGTGTTTTATAGGATTTATATAATATTAAGAGCTTTTTAACTATTATTTATATAAAATAGCTTAATTAAGGAGATATAAAAGAAATTATAGATTCTTTAAGAAGTTAATAAGATTAATTATACTATTATTAAGAAGATTACCTTAATTATCTTAAAGGGTTTTAATATCTTCTTATTTAGTTTTTTAATAAATTACTTTATCTTAATATTTTAGGTATT